TATAGTTTACGACAAGAGTCCTTATCTATTAATTTGTGTAGATACATACCAACAGTTATTATTGCAACTAAAATCTCTAATCCTTCACTATCAATATCAATTCATTTGCAGAGCGTCTACATTCTCCCGCAAGCCAGTGAAAGAGTCGTTTCAAGGCAGTGAATTGGTTATGTGGCTCATCAGCAAGAAATTTGCCAGAGACGGACGTGATGCAATCACCATTGGCAACCTTCTGATACATCGCAACGTGATTGCACACATGACAGCCGCTGCTCCATTTATGGGCGACGCCAATTGGTTCAAGATCCTGCCAGAGATGACGGTTGGCACGTATGTATCTCTTATAAACAGGACGCTTTATAGTTAGCTGCAATCAAATGAGACCATTCATAGTCGTGCTGGTGTATATGGCATATGTTCATCAAAGAAAGTATTTGATTAAATTAAACATATAAAATCTCGTAGGGTACCGCTGAAGACTGAAGATTCTCGGACTGAACCACAGCGTAGAAGGAGCCTCATGTCCACATTATCTGGAGCTGCTGCACACTGCAACTTGGGCAAGAAACCTTCAATGATCGGTTCGCGAACAGGCTCCATATCCCTAGGTTTGTGAGATTGTTCATGCATTCATGCCATTAGACATCAATGACAGAATCAATCATGTCATGCAACAACTCTTATCTACCAGATATACGATATCTTTACCAGATATACAATATCTTTACCAGATATACAATATCTTTACCAGATATACAATATCTTTACCAACACAAGGAATCGAGTTGATTATTCCACTGACGGGTCAACTGACCGGAAAGCTTAGATTGACAGCGGTATACACCGAGTGTATTTGCGCCGTCCCGTCTTGCTGTCTTCATTTGGCAATTATTTACTTATATCTGCACCCTAACTCATGTTTTCACGTGTATACAGAAAGCCTAAGTAACGGAAACGAGGGCAAAGATGGAAAGAAGAAAATGATATATATCCCCGAGATAGTGCGGCGAACCACCAGGCGATCTCAAAAACCATCATCGCCGAGTCTTGAGTCTTCACAAGAAAACGGATTCGAGTCTCTGGAATTCATCTCAACGGTGTCGCAGCCGGACGGCTCCGCTTCACCCTGTTCACTGAGACGGAGTGCGAGCACAGACGGTCGTGCCACGAATAAAGGTGTGAGATGTCACTACATATTAACTCCGTGCATATTCTATTGCTTTCAGCTTCACATCTCGTACGGACACTACAAAAGAAGAATTGCAGATGGATGCGAGTGCTGTACTGATGCTCGAGTTCTTTGTCTACGATGCTGTCATCGAATTAATGCCTTTAGAAACCTTCGCAGCTATTGAAAGGTGTTCATCGTAATTCCGCAACGTTCTTTAACACACAGATAGCGGAACTTTCATCAGTCCAAAAGCTCGCCGAAAGGTCAATGATGCAGTGAACATGCACCAGCTGTGTCTCGTCAAGCAGAGCTACGGCAGCACATCCCCACTATCGTCGCCAGCATCATCTCCCAACACCTCACTCACACACCTCCACGCAGAACCACTCGAGACTTCTCCCATATCATCACCCACTGATTCATCCAAGTTGTCTCGCCTACCCCCCAAGGTTACTACGGGCAGACCTCATCTGCGTGTGGCGAAGGGTAAGAGTAGTAGTTGTCTTGTGACTATCGAGAGCCTCGAGGAGCTGTCTGACGCAACACACTTTGCACTAAGTAACGTACGCTCTCGTACCAACTCGAACATCAAAGCACCCTCTCAGCCACGCTCACCAACCCCAACACACAAGTCACACATGGCTACCTGCAGGCGTACGCCCATGCTGTACTCCAGTTTGATATCTTCACTTGACGGATCTGAAGGCGATGACCACGAGCAAAGCACACAGGTAAGATCGTAGCTAGGTTTATGCTTTAACTTCAGAGAAAACTACACTCGCTCCCGTTGATATGTGTAGGGTGTAGCGCCGAACAGAACTTGAACCTTGGGCGAATCAGTATTGTCATTCCGAAAGTAAACGGGAGACCACATCGCGCGTGCGTGTACTTATATATTGTCGTCTTGGTTTCTATTTAGACCCAAGCAAACGGCAGCGGTACGGACAGCGGGAAAGATAAAGAGAAGGAGAAGAAGTGGAAAGTGGGCAACAGAGGCAAAGCCAACTCAACTTCCCGACCAAACAGTGGCGCGTGTCTACAGGAGCGTACGCTCAAACTGAGAGTCATTGAGGCGAAGAACCTACCCACATTCAGCAGCGAGGATGACACTCAAGTGTACTGTGCAGTGCGCGTAGACGATGGGCTGGTGTGTAACTACAAGACACGCACGCAGAAGAAAACGCAGAATCCCTTCTGGGACCAAAGCTTTGAGATTGCCCTTAATTCGGCGAATTTCAGCAAGTGTATAATCGAGGTGTGGTCCAAGCAACGCATCTTCAAGGACGTTCTGCTGGGGCAGGTGAACATTCCACGTCTTTTCCTGGCACAAGATTCGATTGCGCACGAGCTTTGGTAAGCTACTCATGCGTACACATCAAATAGGGTACAAGATACATGCCGATTAAACCCACCATTCTTTGTGTCTCACGGCCACGTGCTTGTTTGAGCTACCAACACCACACGCTTGTCATTGAAGCAGTTTTTGAATTCACCGAGTAATGTATTGGGCTACAACTGTGACTCCCACAATAACCACTACGACTAGACCCTCTGACACATATTTTGGAGAGTAAGGTGCTTCGCCATGTACCGCACAAACACTTCCAGATATAGGCTACTACAGCCACAGCGCGGGGGAGGGAAAACGTTACTAGCAATATCACACGCACATATCGAGCTCGTGCAACACTAACTGCCATTGCTGGATCAAACAGGTTTCCTCTTTCTGCTGAGACGAAGGACAGGGACAATGGCATTCCACACGTATTCCAAACCACTGTCGTCAACGTGTCCGTCTTCTGTGCCATCTGCCAGGGCGTGTTGCTTGGTCAAGGCAACAGTGTGTGCAAATGTGACAAGTGTGGTGTAGTGTCGCACCCGAATTGCGTGAGCAAAGCTCGCAATGATTGTGGAGCCAAGGGGTCGTTGAGGGCTGAGGTGCACTTTGTCGATGAGGTGACACTGCCCTTAGACTACTACTCGGACTTTCTGGATCTGCTGCTCGAGAACGACCCTCATGAATTGAACAAGCTTAGAAAGTTCATTGCACACATGGCTGCAGCGGATATCAAGGCCACCGCCACACTACTGATGCGCGTGTACGAGGTGGGTTGCGGTTGTTGCCTCTCATTTTTCTGATTTCAGCGTAGCTCCCCGTCATTCTCGCACCCTATTTGTGGGCGATATGGCACACCAAACTATCGCATACTTGTTATGCTGAGATGCAGCGCGGACTCATACACTTTACTTTCACGCAGGCATGTTCAACGCCTCAGCAGAACCACTCCATGGCCTTCATCAACACGGTTTGCAAGGAGGAAGTCAACGAGACGACTAGCTACACCACCATCTTCAGGGGGAATTCTCTGGCCTCCAAGTTCATGGATTCCTGGATGAACCGAATAGGTATTGCAAAAGTATACAAGCGTGTCCCTATTTTCAGTTAAGGAGTTTCCGCCGGAATGAAGTTTAAGTTTAATAGTAAAAGCTGCTGTAGTCGTCTGGACACAGGTACGGCACCACTCAGTCGAAACAACTACTTATCCCAGGGGAAGGGCTCGTACTAGACATGCCGCAGGTGCTTTTACACATTGTCGCGTGGCCATATCATGCACTATCTTGGTGATTTGACCGGGCTTTTCCCCAGCTTAACGGCTTTAATCAAGTATGAACATCCAAACTAAGGCTACTCGCATTCTTCACCATACAGGGCGAAGCTATCTGCATGATGTTCTGTGCCCGGTACTTTCCGATGTACTGAACAAGTCGAGGCATAGTGCAGAGATTGATCCAGAATTGGTCGAAGCTAACGTATGTATTCGTGCATACATGGGTCATATCACACTTCTAAAGTTGCAATGTTTTCTCAGTTACTTGTTTGGGTTCTTCACTAGGTATTTTTAGTGCTACATTAATGACTGAGCAGTCGTTCGGATTATTATATTATTGTCAATTGCTGCCACTAACTGATTATGACAAACAATATTCTGGCAGAGCTGCACGGATACCAATCTCAAGTATCTGTCCGAAATAATAGAGAAAATATTATTTCAGATATACAGTTCGGTACATGAATGTCCCGAACCTCTCCGGAATGTATTCAGCCGACTACAGTCGGTGGTTGTACAGAAATTTCCAGATGAGCCCAACGCCCGCTATACTGCCATCAGCAGTTTCCTCTTCCTGAGATTTTTCAACCCAGCCATCCTTAGTCCGAAGCAGTTCGGTCTTGCAGACGACTATACTGATGAAAGGTACTTGTCGTGCAGGCATGATTAGCATGGTTCGTTGACATTATTTGATTTCATAATAGAAATAATGAATTGATCGTCATGGTTGATTTGATACTTTGTATCACAGTTTGTGTAGGTGTCGCATATAATGCATTCGGACTGTTTGGTATAGTGTGCACTTGTACTGTATGGCCTACAATACAGGCTTTCATCCAGTGCCATAGCGAAAACTGTGTTGGGTGGCTCCAGCTATAGGGTCAAATTCCTTATATTAAAGAGTTCATCCTTACCCTACGCAGAGTGTCGCGAACTCTCAAGCTCATCAGCAAAACGATCCAGAACATTGCCAATGGCGTTGAGTTTGCCGAAAAAGAAATGTATATGAGACCCCTGAATGCCTTGATCAAGTTGCATATCCCCTTTGTAAGGCGATATATCGACAGAATAGCTCTTCCGCCAGAAAATCGATCAAAGTACATCCAAAGGGTATGTTTATGTGCGCTATATGTTGGACGTTAATAGTTGGCTTAATAATAATTCGTGTATATTTTTCTTCAGTTAAGAATCTAGCTCCTTTCGTAGCGCCATATAGGTTTTTCGGGGACTACGTATCGAGCTTTCTAGCGTATTCAGGCTTCGTTCTACCTCAGGTCAAGTTCGCGCAATTACTGATAGCTTAAAAAAATGACCTTGCACAGAATCTGTCGTTCCGTGCCGCTGAGGATACGCGCAAGTCTAAAACATACAAATCCAAAAAGTGTCCCACTTGTCGGAATAATACACCGAAGGCGCAACTCAATCTGGAAAAAGACGTTGCGAGTCTCACACGAAGGTTCAACACATTGCGCCAAACACTCGGCGGTTCATCGGGATCGGGATCGAAAACATCATCCACCCCGAGCGCACCAACTGCCAAAACCAGACAGAAAGGCAAGCTGAGCAATACGAGCAGCCAAGCCAGCAAGCATAGCAGCACATCGACCACAAGCGCCGGGGAAAGCAGAGAACAACTATGTGGTAAAGATGGTAGCGAAACAACTTCGATGAGCGCTCTGCTTGCCATGCGCACGGCCAGTACCGAGTCATTCTCTATCAAAGGGCTGCTGGGCAATATACTGGGTGCTGTCAGCAAAAGTGAGGGGGATCTCTGCTCAGCTGGCGAAACTTCCGACGCGGATAGTAGTTCAAAGTACGAACACAGTGAGACAAGCAAGAGGTTTACAGGTAAAGAAAGTACAGACGATGGTGTACTTACCCAATTACAAACGGGGAGTAAGGCAACAGACAAGACCGGTAGCTTGGACGACGTATTCAAGGTTCCAGACAGTGTGGGTATGAAGGTGGGCAAACCTGCAAGAGCCGCGACTTGTACCACATTGAAACCTGCCCCCCTCCTCAAACATCGTGCACAGAGTGGCATTGCTTTGACTTCTGGCATGGGTAGAACGATATCCCCAACTGTCAAAGAAAACTGTATAAGTATGAGTCTGGGAAGGAGTGAAGGTTTGCGTGTACAGCAACAAGGCTCATCACAAAGACTCGGGATGACTCCGAATGACAAGCGGGGTTCTATTCCAGAACGACTCGATTTGGTGCTGAACAATCTTCAGCAAGCCGCTGTTTTATTGTAAGTCATTGTATGTGCTCTCAGCGGTATATTTAGTGACACGTGGTGCTTATTGCGGATCTCAAATCAAAACTTTATGGTTGACATTATCAATATATATGTATGTATATATATATATATGTATACACATAATATTTATGCATGTATGTACGTATGTATGTATGTATGTGTGTGTGTGTGTATGTATGTACGTACGTATGTATGTATGTATGTATGTATGTATGTATGTATATATATATATATATATATATATATATATATATATATATATATATATTATATATATATATATATATATATATATATATATAATATATATATATATATATAT